CGATCGCTCCATCGCTTGTTCCGTCGCCGACTATGACGTCGGTCTCACCTGACATGACCTTAAGAATATTCCTCGAATCAGATATAGGAAATTAAGTTACTTGGGAGTTCTTGTAAATTCATAAAAGCTCTGTTAATTTCTCCAGATTTCGTAAGAATTACTCTGAATATGTTAATTTTGTGAAGAATCCCTACACCCAACGAAATCGTACTCTTCCTTACAAAAATTCGCTACCAATACAGCCACGACCTTCCTCTCAACAAGTTACCACCCCTACCTGGGAACGGTGTGCCCTGGTGGAAACATGAACCTTCTAGAAGATCTTATTTTTTTCCACGTATTCTTGCCCGTGATGCTTTTCTTAGACTAGTTTGCCTTATTTTTCTTTTTGCCTCTCCTGCGTTTCCTTATTTTGGAGTCGTTTTCTAAATCTGGTAATTTTGCGGAACTTTCTCTCATTTCATTGCTAGGATTCTTAGGAACATGATGAATCATATATGGTTTAGGCTGAAAAATTGGTTAACCAACGCATCCATCCTCAAACGATTATTGCTGGATACCGACGAGCACTGTTGATTGCTCAGGATGCTCTTCGTTCTTCAGCTATGGAATCAGGGTAAGTCAGTTCGTGTATTTTGATAGTTTTTTTCTTTTCCCTCTTCGCTGGATCGTATCAACAAACACGAAGTAAAAGTTAAATGTTCGACAAAATTAACAGCAAGGCCTTATAAAGCGCCAAAGTGGTGTTATTGATTATGAATTTGTTGTGCAGCGATTTGAGTTTTGTAAGATTTAGATGTCGCTCATATTTTCCTTTGTGGCTTATTGTATCTAAAGTTATGTGAATTGACCGGAACAAATACGCGTTCATTCGTTTAAACAAAGACGAGCTTTTTCTCAAATTTCTGTTGGTGATACAGTAACTTATGCCTGGCATCTAAGATTTTGTTGCACGCCTAGAATAAGGAATGATGGATAGCGTAGTGTTAGCATTCATATCAAATTTTACAGCAAAAACATGGAGGAAGGATTTGCTGAAGATTGCTCGCACTACTCTAGGATCCAAGATTTTGAATCAGCACAAAGATCACTTTGCTAAATTGGCAGTCGATGCGGTGCTAAGAATGAAGGTGTGCTGTTTTTATCGCACTCGCTGCCATCCCATTCCATGTCACTGTTCTTCAGGGATCAGGGAATCTCGATGCGATTCCAAATCATTAAGAAGCTCGGTGGTTCAATGAGTGACTCTTATCTCGATGAAGGTACTCAAAAAAAAACATTTCAATTACCTCAGTCTCCATAGTCATCGTTACTCTTACAATAATACAAGTTAAGGTTTCCTTCTCGAAAAGTTGCCGGGTATGTACCAACCGAAAAGAATGGAGAAGGCCAAAATTCTCATTGCCAACACTCCAATGGACACTGATAAGGTAGTAGCGTGTTGTCGTTTTTTGTTGCTATATTCCTAGCACTGTCTTCAGATGTTCAGAAGTTATAATTCGAATCGTTTGATAGTTTTGATTATGATGTAACCTTAACCATTAGAAAAGATGTATTATATTTATTTCGGGAGGGTAGTTGGTCGTGAAACTGTACAGGTGAAACAGCTGAAGCATTGCCGTTAGAACTTATTATCCTGACTGATCTCTTAAATTCACAATGGACTTCGAGAAAATAAGGTTTGGGCTAGTGTACTAGAGCTAAAGTCTTACCTACACGATCGATTCTGCTGTACGTTTCACTGTTTCATCGAGTAAGTGCCTTTGCAGGTGAAAGTGTTTGGTTCGCGAGTTCGTGTTGAATCTGTTGCCAAGGTAGCGGAGTTGGAAGCTGCGGAAAAGCTGAAAATGAAAGAGAAGGTTCGTCTTGTATCACCCATTTTAGGGTTTTCATGAATTTCAGTGTTATTGCAGGTGGACAAGATTCTTGCTCATAAAATCAACGTCTTCATCAACAGGCAGTTGATCTACAATTATCCCGAGCAGTTGTTTGCTGATGCTAACGTGATGGCTATCGAACACGCTGACTTTGAGGGAATTGAACGGCTTGCACTAGTGCTTGGTATGAGCGATACGGATTTCTGTGAATTTTGCTTTTCTAAGTCTGATGTTGTCAAGGTGGAGAAATCGTCTCAACATTCGACACACCAGAAAATGTGAAATTCGGCTCATGTGATCTTATCGAGGAAGTGATGATTGGCGAAGACCGTCTATTGCGTTTTAGTGGTGTACCTCTTGGTTTGTACTCATTCACAGTTTTTATTTTTACCTTACTCCTACAATTAATTGGCTAGTAGTAAAGCATCGTTTGTAGGGGAAGCTTGTTCGATTGTGCTCCGTGGTGCCACGCAACAGATCCTGGAAGAGGCGGAGCGATCGTTGCATGACGCGCTCTGTGTGCTGATCACTCACGTCAAAGAGTCCAAAACCGTGGCTGGTGCTGGTGCATCAGAAGTTCATATGAGCACAGCAGTGGCTATGGAGAGTCATAAGGTATGGATTCGTTAGAAATTTTACGTGTAATGCCAAATAAAAGGCATATTGTGACCGAAATAATTGATAAAGAAAATGTATGGCTCGTTTCGCTTCTTTCTCAATATTAGCGAGTGCTTGTTGTGTTCAGGTGGCAGGAAAGGAGGCACTGGCAGTTGAAGCATTTGCTCGTGCTCTGGCTCAGCTACCAACGATTATTTGTGACAATGCGGGTCTCGATAGTGCCGACTTGGTTACCAGACTGCGAGCAGAACATGCTAACGGTCACCACAACATGGGAATAGGTACAAGCTTTTTAACTTTTTCTCCCAATAAGTCAGTACTGGCTTTTTAAATCTCGTCGAAGCACTAGCGTGGATGTGAATATTCGCTCCACTCTTTTAGTTGTACCTAACCATGTGCTCCACAGTGGGTTGAACCAACTCATTTTCCTTTTGTTTCAGCTTGCTTGGGTCAGTCAGTTTACTTTCACCTCCTCTCACCTTTAACGACCTTCCACTGTCAATGTGCAGAGTGGAGATTCTTAGGGTGTCCACAATGTGGTATACGGTGATCCCTGATAGAGCGAATCCCTTTTCTTGATATAGTTCTCTTTTGCGATCACAACATTATAGCTTTTAGTTTATAATGCTCGAAAGAAATCTTTGCGATGCGCTCTCCATGTCTAAATTTGTTAAGTTGTTGCAATATAGAGGTCCCCCAGATTTTCGACATTTCACTTCCGACTCGAGTTCAATTCTCTGGCTACGCAGTTTTTTGTAACAGAAAACTGAAAATAGACATGAACAGTTGCCTCAGCCGCAGCTAGTAACGCGCTTAAGGCAGTCATAATCCATAATGTTGCATATTGTGTCGGGCCGTGAGCTAATGGTTAAGCCACAGGTAGCAGTGCACACGTGAATGCTTAATGAAAGAACGGCGTCGAGAGTAGTTAGAATCACCCGATTGCATTTGTAGTGAACACGGTTTTGGAAAAGCATTTGGATTCAGGGGATGTTTCCTTTTTTCATCCTTATGCATCTCGATCCTTGAGAAGCATGGAAAATTCGACGGCCTCTCATATTGGCGAGTATCTGACGCATGGACTTTGCATTCTACGCGGGCGATCTTATGAGCTTGTGTTTTCGCAAACTCAATATTCATCTAATCAGCGCTGGACTGACTTTTCCTGATTTTTTTGTGCCGTGGGTCATAGTGATTCAGCTCCAATCTACCCTGGCGAGGATCACTGAATAAGAGAGGCCATGCAAAAGCCTCATTTTCATGAATAGGCAAAATTCATTCTGATGTAGCCTCAAATTTGCCTGCAAGCCTCAATCCTCAGATGTGCATTCGAAGAGCTGAATCCAGGTCAAGTTGTTATGGCGGAGTTCCACAAACAATAATTGACTTACGATGTGTGAAGCACTGCGTCGACAAAAAGACGATACAGCGTTTACAGAATCTTTTCAAACAATGCCAAGGCTACATGTTTGAAATTGAAATTCACTCGACAGAGTTGGACTGAAAAATTTTGCATTCTCCACTCCAGCGCGAATTTATGGAACCTAGGTTCTGACTATGTATTTTTGTCATTGCGCGCCCACATGGTCAACAGGCTTCGGTTCACTAGGCAGCATTTTTTTTGAAATTTGTTCCTTGAGTGATCAGCAGGACCCCTAATCACAGCGGTGATGGTACTGTCGCAACTTGAAAGTGCACAACAAAGAGAGCTTTATAAATCTGCTTGACCGCTGCGACCGCTGCCGTTCTTATCATTCGCAACATACGTCTGCGCCCTCACGTACGACAAACTCTCTCGCGTTTTCTCTCTCGTCCCAGCACTGTGTTTCTCCGTCGTTCAACTGTCGACATTACACGAAAAGTTTTAGCGCTGAGGTTTTTTTTTTTGCTTCCACTTCTCTTCATTAGTAGTAAGATTCCTCTTGTACTTCTTGTCTGTTTTTCGAACAAAATAACACATCAATTCGATCGCGATCATGCCTTCGAGAAATCTTACGAAAACGGTAAACCTTTCGTCTTTGGGTGACTAAGATTGTTGATGCACAGGGTACGCAGCTTTCGGGTACCCGACAGGAGGCCCATTGCGCGGCAAGGAGGCACAGCAGCGGACGAGTTGCAGCGCGAAATCACTATTGTTCGCGCTGCAACTCGTCCGCTCGTCCGTACAATGGTATGGGTTTACTTGGCGCGAACTATAGTGATTTCGCGTCAAGTAAACCCATACCATTGTACGTCCTAGGTCGTAAAGCACGCGCTGCGACCCGCCTGCTGACGCCGCCTTCTTCGCGCGACGAGCCTTCTGTCGGGTACCCCAGTTTCTCCGATTCTTTCAGGAGGTTCATTATTTTATTTTTCAAAAGAAAGGTAGAACGCGGGAACTGGCAAGGGGGACTTCTTTCATTTCGAGATGTGAACTACTGTTGCTAGGGTCAGCAGTGGAAGCAGGGCATAAGTGAGGTTTTGGGTGAAGGTCATGTTTCTGGTTTTACATATTTGGGATGTTGCAGTGGAGGGAAAAGGGGTCGTTTTGACGTGTTTCCGACGACTTTGGCGCCAGCTTCAGCAAATAAGCGTGAACATAGAAAACTAGGGCCTTCGCAGTCTCCTCAGATTCCTCTCTCAAGGCTGATGGCGGGAGGGGTCGCGAAAATTTTCCAATCGGCACAACGCACGGCTTTGACAAACTGTTATTCTAAAAGGGCATTTGTACTACAATATCCTAATAGTTTATTTCAACTGAACGTATATTTGTATTTGTTCAGACATTGTGAATGGAACGATCACTGACGTTGTCAAATTGGGCGTTATTGAGTCGTTCAACGTGAAATTGTGTATGGTGTCGAGTGCTGCTGAAGCGGCTGATTCAATCCTTCGTGTCCCACATCACATCACATCGCCCACGTGCTAGTCCAGCTGATCATTCGCACCTGGTATAGCCGCTCTTTATGAATCTGTTTTTTGTTAAACAATTTATTATCATCTGAAATCTCGTTACTCTTTTACATAGCTTTGATTATGCACGAGTTTTTCGTTGTTGTCATGTGACCATCTCATCAAGGTGTTTTTGGGCGACTAGACTTAACTACACCCTGTACCTTTTTGTTTTCTTTTTTTTTGTTTGTTTTATTTCCTCCGATACTCTTAATAAACCCGTGCACCGTAGTTCCTTAAAATGCATTTGTTGATGTTAGGTGTCGGGATACGAGCTACCGCTACTTACACGTGTTCAAGCTCCGCAATAATCGGGGCGAGGCGGCCGCTGACTGCATCTTCTCAGCTGCTAGTTATGAAGTTTCGTTCCTTCTCATGCGATTACCCTACCACTCCTTTGAATAAATTTGTGCAGATGAGCGCGTCCGCGAGTGCGTGACTGCCCCCCCCCCCCTTGCCAATCTGGGTTTCTCTTGGAGAAATCTCAAGGAAAGTGATTTTAATTATTTCAGGGGGAGGCGGGCATTGGGGTTCCAAGACAGCATGAGATGGACAAAAGAGGAATGCTGGCGGAAGCTCTCTTGTAGGGAGAGATCTTTTGTTGGATCACAACAGAATTAGAGTTTTACCTAGCAAAAGCATTCCAGAATTTCGGGGCGCGCTGGAGTGGTCAGTGCGTTCACAATTGTAATAAGATGGATACATACGTGTATGGTCAAAGGCGGGGTCGTAAAAACAATTTTTTAAATCGGCATAACATGGAGATGACTTTACCCTGCCCCCACTGCCCACGTTGGAACTTCAATCAGGTCTTTTTGGGAGGGTTGGGAATCTTGAGCGCTACAGATTAGAAGGGAATTGGCAGCGCTAAAATCTGCTGTTTTGAAAGTCATATGAGGTAAAATGTCCCGAATTCCTTCGACTACCTGCGTAAGCATCGATTTGCTGTGGAAAACCGATTTTCGGGCTCCATCTACATCTTGCTGCTGGTTTCGCCAAGCAAACACCCGGTCCGGTTGTAGGCCCGGAAGCACTCGTTCGAATCACGTGCACATTTGGATAAACAGAGTTGTTCCACGTTCAGGACACACCTTTATAATCGTATTATTCGAGCTCAAAATAGTGCTTTCATCCTATTAGACAGGTCCGCTTACCAACTAATCAGCACAGGAATGCAAGGTTGGTTTTTTCAGCTTCATTTGTTTAATTTAACTTTCGGGGGAGGGGAGGCTGAAAAGTTATACTCACCTCTCCAGAGTAATCAATAATTCCACTGATTTGTTTCCTGCGCAATAAGTCGGTAGGTCGGGGAAACCCAAATGGGCTGGTACGATGTGCTGGTAGGCCTAGGTAATGTGTTAGGCCCCCTTTCTAGGCTCGCTGCGTCCATCAGTCCCTTAGTGCGGGCAGTGGGGTGTCCAGCAGCACTCGTCGAACATCTCAGGAAAGCGGCAGTTCGCTTGCTCCAGCTCGATCGCTGCATCGGCAGCGGCTCGACTGACCGGTCAGCTGTTTGCTCAGCGGGCCCCTCCCTTGCGAAAGCGCCTTGCGCACACCGTACCAGGGACCCCACCCCCGTCCCCGCGCTACCCGTCCCCCGCTTCAACTGTGTGTTGCACATCTAATCGACATCTATTGCCATTCAGCATTGTTCCACTTTGACGTCATTGACCTAAGTTAGCGGCTATCGACACTCTGGCATCCAGGATGTCTATACCGCCTTCACGGGCGCATTCTGAGGTGAGTAACGCTTTCATCACTTCGGACAACTGTCACAAATTTTTTGGTTTTGTTTCTGCTTCTATATTGTGAAGGCAACTCAGAGCTCCCCTGGAGTAGGGTGTAGGGATTAACAGGCCGGAGTTTCACGGGTGTGAGCTATATCAGAGAAATGTAAACATATGAACTGCCGGATTTCCTCCCACATATTGTATCTCTCAGCGGCGCTCGAAGAGGTTTATTGACCCAAGAGGTTTCCACAGTGAGGAACCGAGTGCCACACATTTACAATGAGTCATTCTACACAATGGCCTCACTGTTTAGCTAACCCTTGGTAAAGCTATACCTGAAGCACAAAAAGGGTACACGGCTGATCAATACCACTCTGAGATATGACATTGATTCGACTCTCAAAAATGCCGCGTTCTTTACATTGTATCTCACATAGTAGTTAATTGGGCCAACATTTCATTACGGGATGCGAGGCAGGGATAGCCGAGTGGTTAAGAGGTTAGACTCATGTCTGCACCTCTGAAAACCGCGAGTTCGATCCCTGCCGAGGCTAAACCATGCCTTGCAAAAATTGCAAAAATGGTTCTAGTACCAGCGTCAGGCCCAGGTTGACAGGCCGGCTGATGAAGACCCCAGTCACACCAATCATGTCTAAAATTCATTACGGAATGCGTTCCCCGGGCCATGTTTGTGGTAGCAGCGCCTCGTGTCACTGCTCTACCCCATCCCTACATCCCTTATTTTGATTTTTCTTGAAAGACAAACGTCTCGGAGGTTACTTGCAAGCTTTCTTTGGGCATAATATTTATTTATTTGTGGACGAGCCTCTAAGAAACCAATTTATCCAACCGGCCAGTTTATTCCTGGAATACGTCCTGAATGGCGGCCGTGTCAGGGAAAAGGCATTACCGCCACATGCATCCTGCAATTCATGGGCATTCCTATTCCTAATGACGTTCAACTTTCAAAGCTTAACAAAAAAAGTCCGACGGGAACCGGTCTCTCCTCTCGTATGGCAATACGCAATATTTGAGTTACCCTCTGTGACGCGCGCCTTTTAAAGGAGTTCTTGAACTCGCTTTCTCTTTTTTAAGGTGCTCCTTCAGTGAATCAATATTCAAGGAATGACTAATTTGGCGCTGTGCACCTGTAGGGGATCTTGTGACTAAGCTGGGACGGCAGGACTCTGAGGAAAATGAAAATCTTCGCGCACGTTCGAGCCGGTTCATTCATCTCCCGAGAACTCGGAGTACCCCTCCTCTCCCCACCCTAAGCTTTAGTATGCACCTTTAACCAAAAAACGACACACCGCTCTAGCGTGACTTCAAACGACTCGCCGACATACTGCGTCCCCTTACGTTGGGATAGCGCCGATAAGTTTTATTCTTTTATGGAGAATTTAACTCCTACGAAACTAGTGTGGCCGAGTTGACAGGAAGACGTCATTTCAACTTTATGCTCGTGCTTCAACCAAACTGTGATGGAGTTGCGCAAGCGCAGAGCAAGAACTTACTGTTGCTAAAGTAACGGCAATTCGCGACATATCATAGGACGATGCCTATTGCAGCACAGGAAGGAGTTAGTTTGAAGATTCATCTTCAATCTCCAGTGCCCCCAAGCCAATCTCTTTGGCGCTGGTTGCGTGAATCCTGGGTTGTCGTTGACTAATAAAATTATTGGAATTAGCACAGCGGCTTTCCGGACCCCATATTTCGTTCGTAGGAATACTGCCAAGCAATGTAAGAACTGGGGCCTGGCACTGTCATGGGCGATTGAAGCGTTTTTGTGGTTGTTTTGCCATCAAATTGCCCGAAGTGATCATCGATGAAATGACGCTGCACATCAGCAATAGCGATCTCTTTTTTGTGGACAGAACCACCAAAACGCCACGCCCCAATGATCCATTGATGAGCTTTCTTTGGACCCCGGCAACCTTTCGTGAACCACTTCGGGTGGTTCTTCATCGGCGTTCTTCCATGACCGAAGCTTCAAATTGGGCAAGCTTTTATCTGTAACCATTATCAAAAATGTGAATGTGGTCAGTCTCATAGAAACTGATTATTTATGGAGGCATTAAATTGCTTCAAAATTGTGTCGCTGCGAGTGTTATAGAGAAGACATCCAAGCACTGTGGATTCTCTGGACATCCGAGTTCTTTGAACACAACCACCCAATCGTTACAGCACCACTACAGGTCTTAGATCGATTAAGGTCCATACTAACATTTTGGGCTTGAATTCATACACTCACTCTTCCTTTACCAAGTGGACATTGTGGATAATTCAAGCATTTCTTCTATGTGTTGCACTCCATTTTTTCGCACCTTTTCCTCGACACTGCGTTTTGATAAAGTCTGGCTACACAACTGTTGATTCAGCACGAGAATAATTTGGCAAAGGTTTTTCTCTGCATGACGCATAAGTCGATAATCCCACTCTGATCTTGATCATAGAGATTTTTTCAGATGCTAAATATGGGAATTTCGTTTGTGGGTTAACAAAACTGACTCAAATTTCCACATGACTGAATTTGAACGGATCGTAGCTTAAAGGAAGCGATTACGATAAAGAGGGAGCGCATCGGGAAGCATATGCACCACACGAAGCAGTTACTTGGCTGCCAAGGAAGCGAGTGTGGCGCTTTCACGACGAAAGGTGCGCTGGTTGCTGAGCAGGACTTCGAAAGCACTCCGCCCCCAAAAGCGATCCGCCCACTAGTTTACTTGTTGATTTGGACGAGCTGCGTGGCCAGCAGCGGCGCAAATGGAGCATCTCGATTAAAGCGTGATTTGGCATGCCATCAAACGCGTTGCGGTGAACTCGTTCATACGTCCACTTTCTGAGCTGTTACCTGTTCATGAGTGAAAACCAACGGCCAAAAAAGGGGTCCCGTTTTGCGTTTTCTTGACGGATTTTTCTGCTTTTTTCGCCACTGGCGTACCATTGAGCACCACCACGTCACACTAAACCCTTCTTGAATTTATCGTAATCGCTGCCTTTAGCATATAGCATCATATCCAGGAGAAGTTTAAGATTCCCCGCCCATCCACTTCCTCCTTTGCTCACAGCTTCATTGGATATCTGCACATTTTTAAACAAGTTTATCTCCACAAATGAAATAACCCGCAGTAAAAGCGGGGCGCCACGTCGTGTCGTTGGGGGGAGGGGACATTAAATAAGTGCACTTACAGTACTTGGGACCAGTTCTTAGGAAGGAGAAGGGATCCTGGGAAGGATGTAGGAAGGA